CTACTCAATTCCACGTCCATAAAGTAATTTAATTTTTGGTGACAAAAGGAAACATAAACATTTTTTTGTTCTTATGCTTTGATTTTGAAGAATTGGTTCAATAACCAAATTTTTATTTTATATATAAAAAGACAAAATATATATAGTCCGAGTACAAAAAAGTTATACAACCATAAGGGTGGATATAATTTGAAGAGTAAAAAACAGAATTTTAAGATTCTCTCTTTGCTAATGTACATGCAAGTACGTTATTTGATCATTTACTTGTATGTAGAAAGAAAGAAAAAAACAGATTATCAACTTAGTACTCTAGTGTAAGATGTCATAACAAATGTTGTCAATATTGAAATCAGTCACGGTTCCATGCAAATATCTATGAGCACTTAATTATCTCCTTCAAAAGATATTGAGTTGCAACCCATTATATTATATTGCCAAGTTTGTTGCATTACGATAAGGAGAGCTTTAAGTTGAAGCCCAATATTGAGGTACTCCATTGTTGTCTTTGATAATCCATCCAGCTATTGGTTGGTGAGTATCAAGGTTAAAACTCGCATCAAATATAGGTCATATCCGTGGATTATTGTGTATTTTCTTTAACAAGTGCTACACTTCTATTCTTAAATGAATTTTGCAAAGACAAGTCTAAGCCCACCATGAGTCTGTGTAGGGTTTTTCACAAGTGTTTTCATATATATGTGAATGTTTTGGTTCTCATTATTGTAACTAAGGTTGCGTTTGAACAGCCTCGTTTTCCAATCTATGAAATCAATCTAAAAGTAATTTTGCGTTTTGTGACCAAAACAAAAGAGAGAGAGAGATGTAATTTAGTGTTTGTGACAACCTACAGCTTTTCTCTATCAATCATGTTTTCATCTATCAATTATGTTTTAATTGAACTATTTCTCTATCAATTATGTTTTCATCTCAGTAAGCTTTTTTTCGAATCTATCTTGTTTCCAAACATCTAACAAACTTTACTATTTTTCATTCCTTTTTTCACTTTTTACAAACTTTTTTTTTTTTACGTGAAAATGAAGATTGTGATGTATCCGTTCTTGACACTGGTAATGGAAAGTTTTGCACAAATACATAACACAAAACTGTCAAAATTATGAATAAGATAATATATGTTTAAAACGAAGAGTAGATGAAACTGAGCTTTCGAGGACTATGCAGAGAATTATTTTGATAAGTCGAACTCTAGCTACGTAAAAGATTAGCATCCTCTTTGTCCTTTACAATTCTAATTTTGATAATTGAAAAAAACAATAACAATATACAGAAGAAATTAAATAGATTTGGTTGGTTAGGACTTAGGACCAGCCCCATCATTTGAACTTGAATGTTCGGTAACAAACACCTATCATCATGAGTTTCATAAGTTGTTCAAGTCTCTTTTGATGCGCATCCACGTGGTCCAACACATCAATGGGTTATTTCTTAATTTCTTTTATATAAAATTTAAATTACCTTTTACTTTTTTTAAATCCTTTGGACAACGAACCAACCTGACAAAATGGTAACCAAAAGAAAACTTTTGTAATGCAGCCCGGCTTTGTAGTCGGTTTACACTAGGCATGGCGTGGATCGGATATCCGGATGAAATGCAGTATCTATGATTCGATTTGTTTTTGACGGATATCTAATTTTCCGAT